GTGAGAGCAACCTGTGGTCGTCCGAACAGCAAACTTTGCTGAGCAATTATGTGCCCAAAAAATTGGGCGCAGTGTGCGATAAGTCGAATGAATTCCTATCGTTTGAGGTTCAGTAAGAGATTCCACTAATTTGACAGTCTCAACCTTGGAATAGAAAGGAGCTTTCGTAGAATTTAACTGTTCACAGGTGCTGAGGAGTTCAAAAAAATAGATGAGATATATTTTGCAAATGGTCAGTTTCGATTGTTACATGTCCAGTACGTGGTATATTTTCAACACTAAAATTTCTATTTTCATTTCCGCCGAGACTACACTGCCCTTCAGCACATTTAAGATGGGCATAATAAAATATGTTTATAGTTTTGTTTTTGGCCGAAGTGTTTTAACCCAATAAGTTACCTTAATTTTTCGCTAATGACACTTCCTTTATGCTGAAAGACGGTCAAAAATCTAACCATCGAAATTGTGCATAATCAAAAATGTCACACACTCCTTTTTCAAATATATGCGGTGCATGTCAGCAATGAGATGAAATTTCGCATTAATTATACTTATCCGGCAACCGAAATCAATAAATTTCCTTCTCTTAAAAATTAAATTGAAGTTCTATTTTCAAACTCGCAGCCCCCTAGAAACTAGATTTTCGAAAAAACACGCCATCCACAAGTCAATAAAAATATCATTATTATCGTAAAATATTTAGCACAAATAAATAAAACATTAATCCCGCGGTAGGCAATAAATTTTTAGCAATGCAATTACAATAAATTTTCCAAATACATAAATAACATGCGCACATACATACAAAGTGGACTTAATTGTGCCTAAAAGCAAATGCCGCATGCTGGCAAAATTTGCACACGAGGAAAAACATCCAGAAAATTCATTTCATTAAAAGCTAACAAAAAGTTAAAAAAAAAACCACGACAACATAAGCTAGATGTTTATCAAATTATTAATTAGCAAAAAACAAAGAATGAAATAAAATAAATAGAAACGCGTAGGTCAAATTTCACACACCCAAAACGGTATTAAAATTAAATAAATGCAATTTGAATAAATAAAATTAAATTGCCAATTTTCGAAATGAGGCTAATAAATCTATTATTAATATCAGGTCGTGCTAATAATGCCAATTATGCGATAAGTACTAAATTGGGTTAACTAGCATTAGCTAGGAAAGAGTAAGTGAAATAGAAGGAGTTTGAAAGCAAAAATTTAATTTTATGGTCAAAGCAATTTTTGTAATAAAATTAAATAAGATCATTTACGAAGAAAAGTAGCAAATAATTAAAAGCGCTTATAAATGGTCATTGCATACACTTCCGCAGTCGCTCTAACATTTTCAAACCTCGAAGAGTGATGTGTATCATATTCAGCAGCCAAAGCAGCAGTTTGATAAAATAAAATTTTCGTTACTTTTGTTACTCACAAACTCAAACATTTCATTACTCTTTAGCGTCCATGTATTAAACTGGAAACCGCAAAATCGCATTAAAAAAAAACTATTTAAATTATCGTAATCGCCTGCGGACAGCAACTATTTCAACCGCGCGATCATTCCGCCAAGCAAATTTTACACATGTTATCTCTACTTCACACAAATTCACACTTACACACCCATACACACATACGTGTATGCATACAATTTCACATGCTATTAAAGGCCATAAAAAAGTAGCAAATGTATAAGCAATATGTACATGTGAATGTGTGTAAAAAGTCAAAAATACCACAGACCGCATACCGAAGAGTGTTTGTAAGCAAGCACAGGCCAAGCAAAAGTTATGCGACCATGGCAACAATAAATGGATATTGCTGTGTATAAGCAAGTGAAACAGCGCACGTATACGACATGGTGTACCGCACAATGTGTGGCTCTACAATAACACATTCGTACAAAGCAATACAACAACAACACAATGACATGCAATTGGCATAGTTTCCGCTTACTCGCTCTGCTGTTGCTGGTGGTGAATGTAAGCGCAATTATTTGACCAAAATTAAAAGGCTTTAAGCGGAATTATCCTTTTATTTATTTATGAGTATTTATATGCCAACCAATGTGACTTTTTATTACGGCACAATTGCATATGTGCGTGTGTGAGAGAGAGAAGAAAATTTGCTTTCAGTTGCCATTCTGTGAATGTCATTTATGAAATGGCTCTTGTGAGAATTACTGTACTTGATTGCTATCAAAAAAGATAAAATAAAATTAAAAAAAAAATGTCTTAAATGGCAATTGGAGTAATTTATTTTATTTTTACTTATTTTCTTCCTTTTATTTAATTTAATTTAATTTAATTATATTTTATTTTATTTTATTTTGTTTTATTTTATTTTATTTTATTTTATTTTATTTTATTTTATTTTATTTTATTTTATTTTATTTTATTTCATTTTATTTTATTTTATTTTATTTTATTTTGATTTTCGGATATCTAATTTAAGTTTTTATGTAGATTATGTTAAATTACTTAAATTCAAAATTAGTTTTACAAAGTTATTCACACTTTAATCAAATCAGTGCTTGTTAATCCCAAAGCACTAAAATAATTTTCTCCCTACAGTTCTCTTTTACATTACATTACACTTCTCACTTCATATCTGTGTGTCGTTGTTACATTTCTGACATTTTTATCCAGGAAAACTTTGACTTGCACTCATGTCAGGCTAATGTACATTTTAAGTGTCAAGGAAAGCCAACAAGAAAAAAATATGCGCAGGCATAACTCAGAGCTCAGTCATTGCTAATGGAGGCGTTTAAGAGTGTTAAAATAAGAGGACACTGCAAAGTTGTAAGCAGCAGCTTAAGCAAAAATTTTAATGGAATTGCTTAAAAGGGCTTAAGGTAACTTAGTCAAAGGTGTGAGAAATTAAAATATTTTACTCACAATTTGAAAGAATTCGCTGTAAACAAAAACAGAAATTAACGAATGTCCTTCCGAAATATTGCTTATTAAATTAAATGATGATATATTATATTTAAGTTTATTTATTTTCATTTCCGTTTGGTTTAATAAAAATAAAGGAAAGAGAGCAGCCAGCGAAGCGTGTTTTCAACTGCGGATCTCAATAGATTTTTATGAGCTTAAATTCCTTACAACTTTTAAATATTATCATTAAAGTAATCCGTCAAATTAAGTGGCATTATGTCGAAATATTTCAGTCCTACTTTTACCAAAAAAAAAGTAAATAAATTTCAATATAAATATAAATTCATACATTTTATTTATTGAAATACTTGGAAAGCATTTCTTTTCAACTGCGTTTGACTTGTAAGTTTTTGCCATGAAAACCTGCAAACTTTATTGCATTTTTGTACATGCAATGTAAGAAGGAAAAAATTAGTGAAATTTTTTGCACGCTTAATTAAATTAATAAACAATATGTGCAACCACATACGCTTTTGCGTTTATGGATTTTTACGACGAATATGAAAATGAAATAAAAATATTTATTGAGTTTTTTCGCATTAAAATTAAAATAAGCAAAATATGAAAATAATGATGATGGAATGTTCACATGAGCAAGCAGCAGTTGTACATACGTGCGTGTGGAAGTACTCATAAATACTTATATAGATGAAGTTATCATAAATACATATATAGATATTTGTACAACTATTGGTTTTTAGTACAAAAAGATCCTATTTTTATGCAAACACGCGTATGAGCATGCATAACAACAACCAATGGCTTGCCTCATTCTATGTACACATACATGCATACATATATATAAGAATGAGTACATTTTTAAATATTTGCATACATATGCATGCACAATGGCGTTGAATTTTCAATTGTGCTTAATCGAGTTTATCGCACTTTTCATGCCATTATTGCATTTTATGAAAATTTTTAACCACAAATTCTGTACAAACAAACAGACAAACATATAATATATATATATATATATATATATATATATATATATGCATATGAGTAGTTTTTTCTACTCCCTTATGTAGTGTTTACTGTAGACAATGGTTATTGAATCACTATTTCAGTGCATGCTTATTAATTTGCATGCTCTGGCGCCTGTGTGTAGGCAACAAAAAAGCTTAAATCATGTGGCGTGTAGAAAATGTGTGTTATTTACCGTACAGGCTAATGAAAATTTTAACTATAATTTTTAATTATAAATTTTAGCATTATTTTCTTCTTGTATGTACATACGTATGTCTCACAGGTATATAGTATATATCATATAAATAGTATTATGGCATTTAGAGCTAGCAAAAATTATTTTAGACATTCATTTTTGCACGACAGTTATTTAATTTATTATTATTTATTTTTCATTTTTTTTTTGCATATATGTTGTATTGTATGTATTAATATACTATTTTTCAAAAATATTTTATTGCAAAATAATATTTTTATGCAAGTATTTGTGAATGCAAAAAATAATTAATAAATTTGCACCTAAAATTCGTTTATTTAATTTCGCTATAATTTTTGTAATTTCTAGAATATTGTAAAAAATACTTACCACATGATTTGTACTTGTCAAAAAAAGGCATAACTGCATATTTTGAAATAAATTACATATTTATATGTATATTTCTCTTTATCAAATACGAGTAGTGGTATTCCATATTTAACTATTTCACCATAGATACCATTTAGCAACAACAACTAATAGACTATCAAGAACAAAAATCATGCAAAACAACAACGCGCTTGTTAATCTATCTACCACATACATATGTACATAATGTATCCAAACATTTTCATTTGTAAACATTATTTACACTTACGTTGAATCTCATTATTTTCGTTTTGATTATAATTGTTTTCGTAAACATGATTTTATCACATAAAAAGTTTTTTATTTCAATTATGTTTGTCTATGCACACTCACAAGCAAAAGGGGAAAAATTTACTAATTTCATTCACTCTCTGTTTCATATTTCTTTTTCTTCAAACGCATATTTCTTGAAAATATTAATTTTTTCACAAAATCGAAATCAACAACAACAACAACAACAATGACAGGGCTCCGACTTACCAATCTATATATGGTATGAGAGTTATCCGGAACACATCGAAGAGGGCTACAAGGGTCGTGTGTCACGCGTCTCACAGGACTCACCGTTCGGTTCGGCTTCACTCAATTTGACCAACATCAAGGAGTCGGATCAAGGCTGGTACGAATGTAAAGTTGTATTTTTAAATCGTGATCCCAAGCAGCATAAGAACGGTACATGGTTCCATTTAGACGTACATGCACCGCCACGTTTTAGTGTTACACCAGAGGATATTATATATGTTAATTTAGGTGAGTAAGCATTATGTTTTTAAAATTTCATGGATGAACTTAACATTTGATAATTTAATACAATATTTTTATATGATTTATGTGTGAGCAAAGATAAATGCGTGCAGTTTGAGTTCAATATTACAAAAGGAAGAGTGGAATGAAGAAAAGTGATAACTATTGCCACCAGATTTATATTATTTTACAATAATTTATAATAAGACAGAAACAAAAATAGGCAAGAAATATTATTTCTGCTGAATCCTGATTTGTCGCTGAGCCAATTAATTTTTTTTCTTTAAGGATTCTTGGAGATTTGGAAATATCAGAAAAGCCGAACTAAGGTGCTTGAAATTCTGTTGTAGCTGTGCTAACCCAGGCTTGCCAAAAATTCGAAAATCCCTCATGCTCTAAAGATCGCCTACTAATTCATGTGACCTAATTATTAAAAAACGGCTAATGAAAGAGTATAAGGAGCCATAGTTTGGTCAGGTAGAAAAATTCCATCGGTTATATTTGCAGAACGAAGCAACAAAAATTACTGAGAGGCTCTCTGACGTTATCAGAATTTCGCACCTAGCTGTTGTATTGTGCTGCAGGTTTATCTTGAGGACCTTACGCAGCCCTCAGCTGTCTCGGCAGAGGCATACTGTGTAAAATTTTCCGCTATTTTCATGTCAGTTCTTTTGTAGAGCGAGAGTTTCCTAGACTTCTTCAGCTTTAAGTGTGTTCTAGTTGACGTCCTTTGCACCAGTTTTGTAAATGCGCAGGATATTCTCATACCCATGAACAGTTTTTTATATTTCGTCTTTGGCTATTTTGAGTCTTTATTGGTTTGCTAAACCATTGGAGCACGCCATAACCTGGCTTCTAATTATAAAGCTCCTGCTTTACTGATTTTCACTTTTCGTCTACCCTTTGCCTATCCACTTTACTCAGCCTCACTCCAGCCAAATTAACTGGCCTAGATGATACTTACGCCTAACGATCATTCCAATCTTGTCGCTTTTCAAGGATCGTGCGGTTAATCGATCGGATCGGATGCGGTTGCTTAAGGTCTTCCTTCTCAGTTGCTACTCTTCAATACTTTTAGGGTACTTCGAGTGGGCTATGTTGTGACGGTCGCTGTGTGCGCTATGCCCTACTCGATTTGAGAGCATTCTTTGCTCATGCCAGACTTTTTATCTATTGGTAAAATTATGTCGCCTTACGTCCCGAGCATTTTTCCATGCTCCTTGGTTGTTTTCTGCGGCTGGCTAAAAACTCACTTTTACTCGCATATTTTACTGAGGCGACGTTATCTTCGTCAACGTCGTGGCCCATCGTTTACTTAAGGACTTCAGTGAGAAATCTTATTGCCATTTGCATCTTATGGTTATTATTATTTATTGTTTGGGTTTTTTTGTTTATGTTGTCTCTAGAATATATGCAAAATGAAAGAAATCCACCGCTGTAGCGCCTCTTGAGATGGCCCGGTGTCAGACCCTGTAATATAGTCGATGATATTGCGGATTTCTAATCATTCAATGGGTACGGTACACCTCAAACTATGCATTTAAAGGTAGAGGGTGCTGTTCTTGGTCTCTATTCCCCAACAACCTTATTCTGACTGATGGATAGCCGTACAACGCCTTAAGCTTCCTGGCCACAAGGAGTAAATAAGCTGAGAAATGTTCGTAATGGTGCAGCAGCTGAGCACAGCACGTCTTGTGAGTTGACTAAATTGCAGTGAATTCAGAGAACAACGAGGGTAGACTTATTGTGCAGCCTTACTGCCTGAACATTAACTTTACGACGTGTCAAAAATCTTCTAACCGACTCATTCGTTTTACTTAAAAATTGCTTTTCAAATCTGAAACGGACTGCATACTCATATGCCTAAGTACATCCAATAAATATGATTATCCCAAATTTCAAAGTAAAACAAATGCCAATAACTTATCCTTGCACAAGAGAAATACCTGCGTTTACCTTTGTGCGTAAGATGAGAGGTAGCGTAGGAGAGAGAACGAGAGCGAGAGCGATAGTCGATGTGGTGGCAACACGGAGTAAAATCGTTTATATTCTACCAAGAGGAATCCTCCAAACAATATGATAGTTTCCGACATGAGCACATAAATTTCACAAAGAATTCTTCACACTCGCACACACACGCACACATTCTTGCATAAAAATGAATGAATAAAAATCGTTTCACATAAAATATATAAAAGCAAGAAAGGGGAAAAAAGTTGCGGCGAACTTACTGCTATAGAACTCAGGCGATTTATCCTTTCGATTTGTCATTGTCAGCTTCGGGGCTGCAGAAACCACAAACAAACAGACGAACAAAAAAACACACACACACAAGTCAAACAAGTAGACCTAAGCCGTTGATAGCGCCTGCCTCCGCCTCTGCCCCTGCCTTTCTCTCACCCTCTCGCACCGCCGCTGCAACAAATCAAAACAAAAATAATGAAAAAAGAAAACAAGAAATGAAAGCACCTTTTAAGGAATGTGGGGATTGTAGGGAATGTAGGGAGTGCTGACAGGGTAAGGAGTACGAAGAACGGCAAAGAAAGAAAAGTGGAAACGCAAACAAATTGCGGCTATAATCTTCACATGTGTACCCAAGAGCTTATATCGGTATCATATGTGTGCGTGCCTGCTTGGCTGTGTGTGTGTGTGTAAGTGTGTGTGTGTTTGTTCAATTTGCATACATCAACTTCATATGCAGTGAGATGCTGTTATGCGCCCATAAATATGCTTCAAAAACTACAAAATTACTCTCAACGCAACTTGCCCTTCTACTGCCGGCAAGGGTGTAAGCGTATGTGAATACATATGTATGTACATTAATATGAATGTGCGCATTGCTCATCTCTACCTTTTGCGTAGGTATAACTTGCTATATTCTTTCCTGATTTTTTGAAAATAAACGAAAAAATCTACTTCTAGGCATTGCCACTTTGCCAAAATACAAATTTGGCTAAAAGCTCCCACACACACACATAAACGCATAAAATAGGTTACACTTAACTACTCATATGTATGTATGTACATTCTGCTCACCTTCGGTAGTACCCAAATTCATCATGTTGACAGGTTTTTCGTTATGTTTCCCTCTTCCAGTCTCCCTGCCCTCCTCCTCCATATCAACGCTTCTCTTATATCGCCGGATATTGAGATTTTTTCGACAAATTTCCCATCTACATCAACTGCATACCTGTCGTCTTTCCGCTTTTCATGCCAATGATGGAGCTGCCATTACTGCTACAATAATACCAACAACAATAGCTACTGTTGCTATTACTTGGAGTGCTTAAATATGTGAGTGCAAGTGTGTGGGTGCGCGTGCGTTAGTGTGCCATTTTATTTGGTTTCCTAGAACGTGTGAGTGCCGAAATGTGTCCTGTCATAAATAGCAAATTGCATGCCGGTCCTGTTTGCGAAACCCACAAATTTGTCACTTTCAGTGAGTTTATCCGTCTTGTTGATTTGCTCAACACACACACACACATACATGTACAAAATTGACGAAAAGATTGAGTGTGTGAGTGTTCTTAAATCACGCCTCAAATTCATCCCTCACTCGCTCTTATTTAGTAAATAAACAACTTTTATAAAAAGGAACTTTTCGAATGGTCTAGTTTTCTTTTTGTCTGAGACCGAGATCAGGAATTTAAGTTCTGCGAAGCTGAGCTCTCTATCAGAGAGAAACTTATTTTTCAAAATTCTGTTTTTGTTGTTTGTGTGGCCACAAATATACCCCAATGCAGTCCTTGGGCGGATTAAATACCGGATAGTTTCGGTAAAAGGACCCGACTGTATCTTGAACTTTCTTGAATTTTACCTTATAATGGTAGAGCTGAGTAGATCTCGCAGATCGACGTGGATCTTTTCTGTAATAGCAAACCGTCCTTATCTCTAAACTGTCGGTTAGAACCTATGTTCAGTTGGGAGCAAGAGAGAGAGAGAGATTGAAAGCGAAGAAGATAGAAAAAGAGAGAGAAGTGAAAAAAAGGGAGATATATAGAGAGAGAGAGAGAGGGAGAGAGAGAGAGAGGGAGAGAGAGAGAGAGGGAGAGAGAGAGGGAGAGAGAGAGAGAGAGAGAGAGATAAAGAGAGATAAAGATTTTTACACACATTTTAAGGCTAATTTAGCTGTAGCCATTGGTTAAAATAGAATAGTTGGCATTGTATACATAAATACTGAGGCGCTTTTTGGTCGTGCTTCTCCAGATGTTCTGATGGGTGTACTAAAATGTTTGCAATTAATGGAGAAACCTACAATATTCTTTGAGACGCCTTGAAATTGTTGATGGTTTCAAGAAGAAATCGTTGAATGTGGGCATACGAATTCGGAGTGGAACTTATAAAGGATGAGAGATCGACGCCATATTTCCCAGTCCAACTACCATCGACATTATCTAACACTCAACACATGACCACATCCAATTCATAATTTTTTTCCACTTTAGTCTTTGTATACAGCAGGTAAATCCCTAACCGTCGTAATTTCATCTGGCCATAACGAGGGAGTCACGAATTTTCGGTTTTACCTACATTGAGATGCCTAAAATTAATGTGAATGATGGAATACTAATTCTTCTTTAAGGCTTCCAGTCATGAATATTATATCGGTGATTGACATAGCACTTACTCTTAACGGCTCTCCACAACTGATGGTGGACGGAGCCAAACGGCACCTGGAGTTCTCGCAAATGCGGCTGAAAACTCAAACATCATTACGAAAATATCATAAATCACAATAGTCCTACAGATATCAAAGCTCGATGGCTCCAAGTTTCAATGTGTTAAAGAAGAGCAGAGAAGGTGAAGACGCTCCCAAAATTCCGTTTATTTTATCGTGAGAGAGAGAAATTGAGTTTAGAGTTTTTTATTATTTTAAAATTAAGCGCAAAAATAAAATAATTCAAGCAAATTAAAATAAAAAAAATATATTTGCATTCAAATTGTGTCCCTTAAGCCGTTTATTCAAATTCTCAGCGTAACTCAGACAAAAAACTCTCTCTTTGTTA